AGCTTGGTTGGCGAGCCTTTTTGGGACCCCTTCAAAGGCGCAAACATGCACCAGCTTACAGTTCCGTCATCCCTGCCTTTGGCTTTAGGAGTCTCGGCCTTTAGAGGCGCATTCGATTGCCGAGAGATCGGTAGGACAAAAGAAACGGAGGTGCGCAAGATCCGTGGTATCCACTTGGTCCAACTTTTTCATGAGGTTCAGTCTTGGAGCTTTTGTCGGGGAAGTGGGAGATGAATATGCCGTCTATGAGGTTTGCTGCATGTGTCCAGCTCTGGGCTGGGTTGCACGCTGCTTGTTGAGATTTCATGTCCTACACGGTTTGCCGTGCTGGGTCCGGAAGCCAACAGCTCGCGCATCGGCATGAAGGAATGGTGAGCCAACCCCTGAATCAAGTTCGACCATGGTGGTTTATTCGCCTATGCCCTGTGCTGTCCAGGCATTTCAGAATGTCACTGAAAGTGGGATAAAATATGGCTTGATTCGTGTTTATCTTGTCTTCACAATTACCCACATAGCTCTCTTTTTTGGTTGTTTTGGAAAAAAATGCTCCTGGTTTACCTGGTGCTTGAATCATCGACCAGGGTTATCTATTTACCCTAAAAAGGAGACCTATGATTACCAGGCTTTCCCAACAAGCCGTGCGCTCCAGGCAGTCGAAGCTGCGCTGGGAGCTCAGCACGAAAAAATGGAAGGCGTCCCCCAGTAGTGCCCTTTCTCACCCCTTTTTTGCGGGAGGGTTCCCCTACTAAAATAGACTATAGAAAAAAGGGTACCCTTACTTATTATTGTAACCTTTCATTTTTGCGGGGGTAGAGCAAGCCGGATGTGTTTCCAACTGAACTCAATGCGGAGAACTTGGGGGAAGATCCACATGGATTTGTCTCCAAACGAGGAACCCGGCGTTCCTTGCAATTTCCCTCTCAGCAAGACCCAAAGGGTACCTTCAAAAAAGAGACAAACTAGAAGAGCTGTGTACTCCCTGGGTATTAATAGAGTTTCCCATGATTCACGTCCAGGTTCTTCGAGAGCCTGCAGATGATGGTCGTGCAATGTACCATTCGCCTGGAGGATGGGTTGTGGCGTGTTGTGTCGTGCCCATGAGATCAGCTTACTGTTTTGGTCGGGTTTCATTTTGCCAAAAAGGCCAGGGAGTTTCCCTTTTGTCGAGGCCCCGTACAATAGCTTTTGCAAAGTGGTCGGAAGGTACCCGTCGATTTGCACGCCACAGCCTACTTTCAGGGAGTGACGGAGGCTGTGCTTTGCAAAATGCGCTTGTTGAGATCCAAGTTGTTTAGCAGCACCCTTCAGATCCCTTTCCTGCTTGGTAGGTCCCACCAAAAATGGTCAACCGTAGAAGGGTTCCGCTTTCTACTAAAAGGGTCACTGGGTAACTGGGTAGTATGCCTCCACTTTTTGTAAGGTGCACTGGCCCTCTAAAAGTGCACACGTCCGTTGCGAAGTCGACGCCTTGTTCCGTCCAAAAGGACCGAAAGGACAACCCTGTCCAATGTGACTGGGTGATGGTATCCATCAGGAGGCTCTTGGTACAGGACCCGGGCCAAACTAGGGTCCTTCCGCGTGGCGGGTTTCCGTTTGATTTGGGCCTTCCACGCAGACAGCCATCTCACCTTCTCATGGACGACATTGTGTTCTGAGGTGTGTGTGTGTGTGTGCGTGGGTGTGTGTGGGCTTTTTGGGCTCGGGCCGTGCTCGTGTTTGTGTGTGTGTGTGTGTGTGTGTGTGAGTGAGTGAGTGAGTGAGTGAGTGAGTGAGTGAGTGAGTGAGTGAGTGAGTGAGTGAGTGAGTGAGTGAGTGAGTGAGTGAGTGAGTGAGTGAGTGAGTGAGTGAGTGAGTGAGTGAGTGAGTGAGTGAGTGAGTGAGTGAGTGAGTGAGTGAGTGAGTGAGTGAGTGAGTGAGTGAGTGAGTGAGTGAGTGAGTGAGTGAGTGAGTGAGTGAGTGAGTGAGTGAGTGAGTGAGTGAGTGAGTGAGTGAGTGAGTGAGTGAGTGAGTGAGTGAGTGAGTGAGTGAGTGAGTGAGTGAGTGAGTGAGTGAGTGAGTGAGTGAGTGAGTGAGTGAGTGAGTGTGTCTGTGTAAGCCAGTTTCTTTGGAACGATCCATGCCATACCCACAACAGCAACATTCCATTCGGATCATGGTGCTCTGGTCTCAAGTGACTTGCTCAAAGCTGGGCAGTCTTGAGGATAGCAGCAGCGCAGTGGCAGCTGCGGCAAGCAGGTGCTTGCGGCACATCACAGGCTCAGAGAGGGTGGGGAGAGAGGGTGGAACTGGGATGCATCTTGCATACTGTGCATACTGACTACGATGAAGCTAACATTCGAATGTATGATTTGTCAAAGGAGGGGTATTTATTTTATGTTTTGTTTCGTGTTGTTTTTTTCTCGCTTTTGGCTTTTTGGCTTCTTGGCTTCTTGGCTTCTTGGCTTCTCGGCTTTTCGGCTTCTTGGCTTTTTGGCTTCTCAGCTTCTTGGCTTTTCGTCTTCTTGTTGGTGTATGCGGCTGTTGGTGGCTTTTTGGCTTTGGCTTTTCGCATCCTCTGCATTCCCAGTTCCTCTGTTTATGCGGCTTTTGGCAGCTTTGGCTTTTCGCATCCCTTGCTTTCCCAGTTCCTCTCCGGGCGTTTTGGCTTTTGCACCCTTTCATTGGTTTTTGGATTGGCTTCCCGCATCATCAGCATCACCAGTGTTCTCCCTATTTGAATCATCACTTCTTCGAACATCATAGGGGGGGGGCTCCCCCCCACCCACCTGCTACTTTTAAGATTGTTTGCAGAGTAATTGCACCCCTATTTGAATCAACACTTCTTCAAACATCATGGTGGGGGCTGCCGCCTCCCCCAACCCCCCCGCTACTTTTTAGATTTCTTGCAGAGATTTAATCGCACCCCTATTTGAATCATCACTTTTTCGAGCGTCCAATGTCGCGAGAAAATGCTGTAAAATACGACATTTTAGGTAATCTATGTAATCCATGCATCTCTGTATGTATGCACCTCTTTGAACATCATAGGGGAAGCCACCCCCGCCAACCCTCCCGCTGCGTTTTAAATTCTATCGCACTCGTTCTTGAATTATTGCACCCCTACTTGAATCATCACTTCTTCGAACATCATGGGGGGGGCTGCCGCCCCCGCCAACCCCCCCGCTACGTTTTAGATTCTCTACAGAGATTTAATTGCACCCCTATTTGAATCATCACTTCCTCGATCATCATGGGGAGGCTGCCGCCCGCCGCAACCCCCCCGCTACTTTTTAGTTATATTGTTTTCTTAGTTGTTTTTTAAGTTTGTTTTACGGGGATTGAAATGCCCTCCTATTTGAATCATCATTTTTTGGACCCCGTCAACCCGCCAGCTATTTTTTGATTATGTCACCCACGATTTGTGGGTGATGCTACGGATGTTGGTCGGACATGCGGGGGGATGTTGAAAACGATGCTGGGGATGGTGGCGGGCTAGTGTAAAATACGTCAGTTTCGCGAGAAAATGCTGTAAAATACGACATTTTACTGGCCCGGACGAACAACGGAAAAAATATCCCAAAAAAATCCGAAGAAAAAATCCCAAAATAAGTCCGCACCCTTTTTCAAACTAGTATGAACACCTTGCCTGGTCAGGTTGGAAATTCGTCATGCTCGTTCGCCAATTCTTCCCTTCCCTGATGCAGACAGGTTGTAGGTTTATGACTGAATTGTAATAGAGCATATATTCACTTTAATGTTTTTGCGGCAAGGCCAAGACGCATATGTACTATTACTGCTTCTCAGAAATCATAGCTTCTCACACGCATCCTCACAATCTTCCCGAACTGGTCTTCGATTGTAGGCAGGAACAGACGGTTCCGTGATCCTGTTGTTGCCACCACTTGACGGAAAATAGAGTTCACAGATCGGGGTCCAGGAGCCCGTTGAAATTTGGAGCGAACTCGCAGCGAAAGCAGAACGAAATCACACTTTGGAATCCGCTTCCCGCTGGGGAACTACCCCAAAAAGGCGCACATCGTGTCCCACTTGGTTTCTATCTTTTTTTGTTGTTGTTTTAAATGGTGTTATTTTCTGGATAGGATCGACACAAAAGGATTGGCAGTGTCCTGCAGCTGGAGAGTCACTTTGTGCCGCCTTTGCAGGGTGGCTAAAAATATGGGCCATTCTTGAACCCCCCCCGCAAGTGGCTCGCTGAGATTGTCGATTTGGGCAAATATGGCGCTTCAATTCTTCGCCGCGAGGCACGTACCTCTTCCAGGCGAAGACGCCGCGTCCCAAGTTGCTGTTTGCACGCCGAATGGCAGCTCGGGAGAGTGGAAACTGGACATGTGCAGGACAAAGCCCAATGGAGAAACAGAAAATCTTTTGGATATGGGAATGTCCAAGCAGGAAGACAATCGCAAAGAAAGATTCTAGGAGGCTGTGGCAGGAGTCGCAGACTGGGCCATCACATGAACACACACTCAGACATAGACATGTGATGGCACGGGGTGTTCGCTGGCTGACCTGCAACTTTTGCATGGTGACTCTTGGACAGAGAGGAAAGTAGGACATACTTCATACAGAACTACATGGCAACCCTCGTTCGATCCCACAAAGCATGAATTCCCCCGGAAACATCAGCGCTACAGCCAAGGATAGACAAAAAACACGCACGAGGAACACTGATTCTGGACAAGACGCAACCTCTCTGGGTTGAAACTGCGAGAGGTTGACACACCGCCTCGCTTTCTGTTTGCAAAGCATGTTTTTTTTGGGGGATAAGACTTGAGTGTACTGAGGCCCAGCAGCGCAGAGGAGGCGCGGACTCAAAGATCCGCGGTCGAGTTTCACTCGTTTTCGGGGGAATGGTATGGTCCCCCACTCCCCCGCATCATCCGCATCTTGGGGATGATGCTGGCAATGCTGGGGATGCTGTCCAGTACCGTGCGAGCCCTGCAGCTTCGGTCCCAGACCCCCTTTCACCCCGTGAACCAACACCCCCGCACCTCTCGCAACATCCTACCCTAAACCAAACCACCCTGCAACCCCTCCTTAACCCCAACCCTAAGCCTAAATCAACCCAAAACCCAAACCCACCCGAAACCCACCGCAAACCAACCCTGAACCAACCCTGAACCAACCCTAAACCAACCCACCAAGCCTAAACCAACTCCGGACCACACCCCAACCACCCCACCACCCCACCACCCACCCCACCCCCCACAGGGGGGGGGGGGGGTTGGCCCAACCACCCAACCGCCCAACCACCACCCCACCACCCCACCACCACCCCACCACCCACCCACCCCACCCCCACAGAGGGGGGGGGGGGGTTGGGGGGGGAGGGGGGGGGGGTCCACGGCCTGGAACATATATGTTAGCCTCTGTAAGTTGATCCCAGCCAGTCTTTTGGCAATTTTCTGAAAAGAAGGGGTGGAAGTATAGCTAGAACTCTCACCTCACCAGTCACCCCGTTTTCGTTTGGGAAAGTTTCCAAGCTCCCGGGTACTTAAAAAGTAAACCAGCCGCCCCGCCCGCAGCCCGGCCAGACGTGTCCGACCTCGTCCGGCCCGGGTGAGGGTTGGTTTAAGGTGGGTTTGCAGTGGGGTTGAGGTTGTTGGGGGGGTTGCAGTGGGTTTAGGGTTGGTTTAGGGTGGGTTTGGGGTTGGTTTGGGGTGGGTTTGGGGTGTGCTTGGTTTTGCGGGGGGGGTTCATTTAGAAGGGGGGGGGGGGGTGTGGCGGGTTTGCGGTTAGGGTGTTTGCAGTGTATGTTGATGCTTGGTTTCAGCTGGATTTAGGCCAAGTTTTGCTGGGTGTGTAGGCTTCGGGCAGGTTTCGAGTGGGTCCAGGATCAGGCCTTTAGGTTGGCTTGGGGCTTATTCGTTGGTTTCTGGTTCAAGGTCGGGACTCCTTTAGGGCATGCCAACCCTGTAAGGTCCACTGCTCGTCCATTGACCAGTGTTTCTCGAACCCAGAAGTTGGTTTGCCTTTAGCTTGCCTTTAAGACCAATCAAACAGTTAAAGAGCAACAAATCGCGCCCAGAGCGACTCTGCCGAAGTGGCGTTGTCTTTGTGACCACTTTGCCACTTTGGGTTGCTTCAGGACTTTGATTTGAGCCCTGAATTGCCAGGCGTGGGAGCTTCTGCAGCGCTGGGAGCAGGCAGGAAGCAGTCGAAGACTTGGGCCTTGCGAAGCCATCCGCATATTTTCGCCAAGGCATTGTGTGAAGGTGGCATTAAGCCTCTGTAACATTGTACGGTCTGAAGCTAACGGCCTCCTACAGTCCGCGGCGGAAATGATCCGCAGGGGGCTCCGAGCGTTTCATGGAGCCCGTTCAACGGAGCCGTCGCAAAGGCCCCACCCCCCGAACCGGCTTTTGGATTGTTTTTTTTGTGCTGAGGGCTGATCCATGAACAAACGTTCCTAGCTATTATCTTTGTTGCATCTTTGGTACTAAACGTCCTCGTATCAGCTGTGAGACTTGCAACAGCAGCTTCCACAGCGAGGGTTTGGTCACAAGTGTGTTGGCAGATTAGGTTTCAGGTTCCACCCAAAGCAACACAGCTAAAGGGGAATGTGAAGCTTTAAAATGTGGGGCGTGTAGTTACCAGTTACCTTTGAAGCATCCCAGAAAGGGATGCCTCACAAAAGACGCCTGCTGATTGCATCAATTCCTGAGCATTTCTGATGTCCACCAGACGGTCTCCAATCAAATGTCACGCCTGAAAGTTCAAGGCAAACAGTGGGGCAACCATCTTCATAGCTAGTTGAAACACAATGTCTTCAAGGAGGTGTCCAATGAAAAGTGTCAGTTTGTTTTGTTCAACCACCTGAATGTTCAGACTGGGCATTCGATGAGCCTGCGATAGGCGCAGATGGACTTTGAGCAGTTCGTCTTCCCCTTTGTAGCCCATGCCTCAGCTGGAGGAAACCCTGCCCCAAAGAAAATCGCCCCACCACGCGGCAGCTTAAATCTGACACGAGGTGAAATTCAAGCCGCCCCAAAGGGGACATATGCTCCCCACTGAAACAACCTGGCCTGCCCACTGATACCCTGTCAGCTGGCCTGATGGAAGGAAGCGTCGACGAATTTTGGACCACTTTCGGCATGCCTTTGGTTTTTCCCCCTATGCCAAAAGAAGGAGGGCGCATGGTCATTCGGGGGGCCTGCGTTCGCATGTTCACGCGCTTGTACAAGCGCTCAGAAGACAAACAAGGCGGTGCGTCTCCAATCCTTGTTTGTGTTCTGGGTCGAACGTAATGCGCAATAGGCTGCTGTGACAGGTGTCCCCTTGATTTGGTCAGCATCTCAACGTGCCAGTCCATCGTGTTCCCCTCAACTTGTTGCGCTTCACAGTTGAAGCGAGGCTTGGGCGTGCAGCATGACCTTTTCGGGTCATGTGACTAAGCTCGAGGCCCTTCTGCACGTAGCCAACGAGAGCGAGCTGGCACTGAAGCGCCTACAGCTGTGCCAAAGATACATCAAGCTGGCGCCAGAGGCGAGTGGCACTGACTGGAGAAAGAAATCAAAACACTATGGCATGTGTCCAAACAGAGAACTCTCCAAATGATTGGATTACGTATTGACCAAAAGGTTGCTTGCTGCGCTGCATTATCCTCAATTCGAAGCAAAACTTGGTTTGGAAAAGAAGCCCTTATTAATCAAGCGCACAGGCAAGTAAGCACAAATACGCACATAAGCTGACAGGCGATGTTCCGAAAAGAGCGTGCAATTGCCTGAACCTCTTTGGTCAGCCAGCAACAAGGGACACCGGGTACAACAACAAAATCCAAGGCAACACACAAATTCACATGGCCATGGGTCAACAGCCCGTACCCCCAGTGAACGTCCCAATCACCAAAATAGACTAAAATGGGGGTGCACCTGCCCCAAAATGGTACCATTGGTTTTGACCCACAGCCACATGGGCGAGCGAACAGGCGAACAAGAAGAATGTGGTCAGAAGTAGCAAGCAATCAAAGCACTGGCCAGGGATGCATAGCTCCTGGAGCACCGCCGAGGAGAGTGGGCATGGGGCCAAATACCCATTCCGCTCCCTCTTTAGGGAGGCGTTTCAACAATGGCCTATGTTGAAACAAGTCATTCACAAAAGTAATTGGACAAAAGTGGATGTTCTGTGTGATGATTTTGTCCATGGGCAAAAAGCCCCTTAATTGATCTCAGAAAAGGAACGAAAACAGTGGGGCAAACTACGGAGACAACCATTTGAGTATGTCTTTTTATGGGCAACCCCAAAATGGCTGATTTTCTGTTGGTTTCCCTTCAACAGTCAACCAAAACGGGGGCACCCTCAAAGAAAGAAAGAGACCCCCCCATAAATGGCGTGTCAAAATGGGGGGGGACTCCGGCGGCTTCCTCAGCTTCGCCAGGACCGCGGCCGGCTTCATGGGGGCGGCCTTGCTGCGGTGCTTGCAGGGCGAGAACTTCAGGCGGCTCGGGGGAATTACCCCGAAGTTGGGAGTTGGGGACCTGAAGCCAATTGAACCCCGAAAAACCACAAGCCAAAAAACACACTGGTTCACCCAGAACCGCCAAAAATCACCAATCCAAACAGAAAGCCGATCAGTCGCGGCTCTCGGGTTCTTGAGGGTAACTGTCCACCGCCTCGAACACCAAAACCACCAATCGAACCCACCAAAACTGGGTGAAAGCTGATGAATCGCACCCCTCAAGGCCCTCAAGTCCCTTTTGTTCAACGGAACGGGTTCCAACCTCTGAAGTTCCAATAGTTCGGTGTGTGTTCATTTCCTTTTGTTAGGCTTCTCACTGAAAATGGCCAACCCAAGGAGGGCTCCAATTCTGCTTATGTCACTTGAAACACGGGCCACTGGGCAACTGGGCGCTCGATGAACAAAATGTTGATTGCGGATGCTGCGGCACTTTTGATGTGCAAGACTACCATTTAATATGATTGCGGCGGTCTTGTGTGCGTGTCTGTTTGTACTTGTTTTAGATGTTCATGATTGGTAGATGTGCTGCTTTTTGGTGGCGTCTCAAGCTAATGGCAGCAGGGTAGCTCATGGATGATGGCATGTTGAAACACAAATCTGGTCCGGCTGCTGGGACTACAAGTATCTCGCACAAATGAGTGATGCGCCCACATGACTGTTGGTCAAACAAAAATGACCTCGCGAACGGTGTTGCTTTCCGGTCCACTTTGGGGAAGCCTGGTATGGTTTGAGTGCAACCAAGTCATTCTTTGGTCAATATCCAATGTTGGATCGCGAGTTCCAAATCAATATCCCAAAGGCTGCTAGTACCTTCCCGCCAACAAACATCTAGTTGATGTGCATGGAGCTCTTTTCCAAGACTACTTTGCTTTGGACGGGAGCCTGTGCAAATACATGTGTGTTTGTCACCGGGTATTTACATTCATGAGAGCTGTCTCCGTTTGGGGGGCTGGGCATCTGACACTCAGGCAACGGTAGAAGCTGGGAGTTTCTTGGGTACAGAATCGGATGTGCTCCCTTCATGCTGACAACACGCCAAGCGGTGAAGTGACATTCCTCGGCATGCGATCCGCTGATAAGTACAAAACAGTGTGTCTCTCAGCCTCAGTAGTGGACGGTTGTTGATGGTATATGATTTATTCAGCAAACTGCCTAAAACGAAACTGTTCCAGAGGCAGCAACCGCAGGAAGTTGGCCCGTCACGGCAACTGTGCCAGGCCTTCACAGGTCGTGTGCTCGCTGTGCAAGAACGTGCTGGACAGGGCCGAAAGCCTTACTTGATTGGCCAACAGGGCAGGAGATGAGCAAACGAAGCACGGTTTCCTCTTGCAGTTGAGCCGCCATAGTCATGGTCTACTGAATCTACTGCCAGGCAATGCTGAGCGTGGCTTAGTTGGAAGCATGTAGAAATCGAATGTGCGATGTCCTCTATGAGCGCTCAAGTACAGTGGAGCATGTCGTTCTGCTTCGCAGGGTTTCATTTTACCTTGACCGTGAGGAGCTGCTGACGCTGGAGGACTGAGCTTCTCATTTTTGAGTTGTTGTTCTTTTGTTTATCTCGCGCTTGCCACCAAATTTGGGTATGAAATGTTATAAGGAACACGGTCACATGCTGGGTGGGCAAAAACCTCGTGCACATGGATGTCACCACAGAGTCCCCAGTTGAAATTTATACCCAACTAGGGGTGCTTTGGGTTGCGTGATGTGAGCCTTGTGACAGGCGGTAGAATGGCAAATGGCTCCAGCTTCGAACTTCCTTCCAGCATTATTAAGCACGTTTCAACAGCAGTCTACTTGGATATGCTACGGCCCCCTTCAAATGTTTGCTTTTTTTATGTGGATTTCCTTTTTTGACATGAGCCAACCTAAACAGGAGACGGATACTGGTTTCTAATCGTGCACCTTGTTTTACTACCTAGAACTGGCATGTTGTTTTCCCATCGGAGGCAGTTGTGCTCTTGCTCTTGTTTCTGACAGCGGGGCCGCCCTTCCTTTTTCACAACAGGATCAACCCAAATGAAGTGTGGACACGTCCCCAAAAAGGTGTTCAGATCCTTTCTTTTTGTCCCCTAAAATTTGGGGGTGAGATCCGTTTTAAGGCGTTCGACACCTGGCCCCGTTCAGGAGGCGGAGACTCGGACTCAGGCCGCACGCATCCTGGGGCTGCTGGACTTGGCTACGCAGCCTGGCGAATCGCGTCGATTCGGCAGCTTGGAGCCTTCGGTTTCCTTATGGTTTCTTGTTCAGTCTCAAATGAAGTCACACACACACACACACTCACACATGTTAGTCACGAGTCCCAGACGCTCCAAGTGGGTGTTTCCCAAATTAGAGGGCCCAAATGAATCGGCAAATGTGAGTTTGGTGTCCCTGAAAAAGCAAAAACTCGAAGAGGTCCATTTGGAGAGGCCCCCAAAAAGCAAATAAGGACACTTGCCAGCAAATGGCTGGCCATTTCGCGGGCCTAGGTGTGGGCCAGCTCCGGGCCATGGGACTCACGGGCATCCGAGGTAGGCAGCGCTGTCCTTCGAGGCCGAAAGCTCGGAGCGAAGAAAACTCCACGGCTCCAAGGTAGGGTTCCATGTTTTCCGGAAATGTCTAGGAGGGACAAGCGATCACAAGAAATTGGGAGTGCTGAAATCAGAAGAAGTGTGGTCCAAACAAGAATGGCAGGGTTCCAAGGTGTGCAGATTTGTCTAGTTGGAGGGGGAAGCGGTCACCAGAAATACAGCTCAGAATAGTTGCACTGACGATTTGAAACCTTGGGACTCCTCTACCGGGTTTTGATTGTGGTTAACCTGGCCAATAAATCAGGAGACCATCTAAAATTAGGAGACCATCTAAATGGTTGGTTTCCCAGTCACAAATTTCCTTTTAGCACTGACCAACAGGGGACCCACGGGATCCTGATTCTTGCAAGCAGCCGAGTCCAGCGGAGGCTGTTTGCGGCTGTGCGTGCGTCAATGCATTGCAACCCAAAGCAGTGCACTTCTTGTCGTTTCTCTGCCTACGTAAGGCGGAGAGCTGACGGCTTTGCAGGAGTCGGAGCCGCTCAGCTTAACAGCCAGGTGTCAGTTGGGAGCGGGTTCAACGATTGCCTGAAGGATGCATCAATGAATATTGTACGATCAGGGAAGTGCATGTTGTGCAGCATTTCTGGGGAAGTCAAGCCAGGGCGCCTGAGCGCATCACATTTCGGTTGACGCAAGTGGAGGAAGTGGTGCTCACAGTGTGGAGTTGCATATGTTTTCCTGCGAGCAGGGCACAGGCCCCTCACTGCAGCAGAAGGCTGCAAACCTTGGGCTGCAAACGGAAGCGAACAAGGATCTGGGGAATGGTTGTCAAATTGGGGATTGGGGACAACCTTTTGGCCCGGAAACTTAGAAGGGCCGCCCACACTTCAGTCACAGGCAGCCAGGAGCAAGGCTTGATGACTTGGCTAAAGCATACGAAATAAGGCTCAGATGGGCCAAGTGACCATGATCTTTGCCAGATTTAACTAACCTTTCGCCTTTTTGGCTTTCTTTCACATGTCCCTATCAACCAGCATCTTGCAGTGGAGAAAGTCTTGCCAAGGCATGCTTGCCAAGGCATGCTTGCCAAGGCATGCTTGCCAAGGCATGCTTGCCAAGGCATGCTTGCCATTTTTCCAGGAAACAACACAGGGATGGACAGCGTTGATGTTTGCCACACCGCTTGTTTGCTACCTAGGCCTTCCAAGTGCTGCTACATGTTTGGCGAGGCTGCAAGAACAAGTTTCAGATGTCTAGATTGAGGGCTCTTTGCTGAGGGAGGTGCGCTTTTCTCCAGCCACCCGTGCAAATCACCAGCACGCCTATTGACATATACACAGTATATACGTGTGAAGCAAGAAAGGAAGTAGTGAGCCAAGATCCCAAAGTCTCGTGTCACCTCAGGTGAAACCTGGTGTCGGCCACGCAGCTCTTCGGAACCTCTTGGATGTCCACGACGGTGAGCCAGAGATCGCGGAGATTGGACCGATGGAGCACGCGAAGAGTCGAAGGGATACGGCGCGACAAAAGCCATTAGCGCGCCGCAGGCTGCACGCGCAAAGGGTGGCAATGCGAGTAAACGATGAGCTTCCTATACTCAGCGGTTTCTGGGAGGGCTGGAGAGGATTGAACAAGCACAACCTATTTGCTTGTGTGCATTGCGTAGCTTCCATGCCACAGGACGCAGAGTGTTGAAGTTCCATTGGTTGACTGGGCTTGAGTCATTGCAAATCCCAGGAGGGTTGCGGTGTAGCAAGAGTTGGGAATGGCGCCACCTTGGAGGTCTGGAAGTCTGGCTCAAATCAGCAAAGACCATGAGGACAGAAGCAACAGCCCAATGGGGAAAAATTGAAATACTCTTGCCAAGAAAGTTAGAAAGCGCGGAAGGCTTCCTGCTGAGGACCCTTCAATCTCATTTGTATACGCCACTCGGGGAAATCTATATGAACTCGGGCAATGCAATCAAGCACAAGCGCTCGCTAGACATGAGCCTCATCCGGGGGACAACATGCTACAAGTAAGACTAAGACGAGCTTCCCCGTTGCCACAAAAACTTATACTATAGTGGGCCGTCGCAGCCACCATGCCGTCAAGATTCCACGACGCGCCCATGTTTTTCACGGATGACGCTGAGGCCGGTGGTTTTTCGTTGTTATGGCAGTTGGCATTCGCGGTGCAGGCTTCACTAGCAGAAGATCATGATGAGGGCAAGCCGGGAAAGCGATGTCTCTCTCTGTCTCTCTCTCTCTCTCTCTCTCTCTCTCTCTTTGTCTCTCTCTGTCTTTCTTGATGGGTTTGCTCGGGTTGTTGAACTGCTTAGTCTATTAGCTTGCCTGCCTTGGCTTGCTCAAGCTTTGGGCTGCATGGCTTGAGCCGATTTACCCGGTTGCTCGGTGTGTGTTGACTGTGTGCTCGGGTTTCTCTGCTTACACCTGTGTTGTGTTTGCGCTGTTTGATTGCTCTGGTCAGTTGGCTTGGTTTGGCTTGTTCCAACTGCGGGCGCTGGCTTGCTTGCAGATAAGCATGTAATTGAATTGGTCCCTGTGGGAGTGTGAGAGAGCAAAGGCGGGGGGGCGGGCGGGTGGGCAGGGGGGGGTTTGTTTGTCTATGTGTGTGTGTGTTTGTGTCATAGTTTCTTTTAGCCATCAGATCAGCATCCCTTTGAGCATAGATAGGGCACCAGATCCCTCCACGAAGTCACATTCAGTGTCCCGGCCGTTCGAATCCGTTGCACAGGCCGACATCGTAGCTTGGCGGCAGTGATGTATCTAGTTTCGATGCGAGCACAAGGCCCAGGTCATTTTCCCTGGCTGGGAAATTTCGGGGGGTTCACTCAGCTTTGGAATAGCTTGGGGGTCAGAAGCAGCGGAGATCTGTGGAAGCATTCGGTTGTCTCGGTATCATTACCTGATTAGACAACTGATTAGGCAGCCTGACTGCAGGTGCGACTGCAGAAGCTCCGGTCAGAGGATCCCATTGCCTGGCAGGCCATGGCCTGCCAGGTAACAGGTAGGGTTCATCTAAACATGCTGGCGATTGGGGAGTTGTTGGGGGCACGTTGGAAAGGGAACCATGGTGTTGACAAATGCCCAGATGCACTGCGATCTATCCTGAAAAAAGTGTGTGCTCCTCCCTGTTTCTTTCAAAGATGAGTGATGCCACTTAGCTGTGGCTCCAAAATGGACCCGGTAAGTGGAAAACATGGACCAAACCTGCGTAACCCCTCCTGTTGAATTTTGAGCCACACCCACTTGGAGCAACACAATGTCTCAAAGATGGACCAACACCAAACAGCGCGACCATCAGCCATCAACAGCCACAAGATTCCAACACGAATCCCAATGTTGCAGCCTGTGCTGCCTCTTACCCAGCCTCACACCTATTTTGAAACACACATCGAGCATTTCAGAAGGGCAAACAGAAGACCCATTGGTTCGTGGGCTAACCGCTGTGTTTGTTCGTTCACGGAAAGAAGCGTCAGCGTATTGTTTCATTTGGCTTGTCATCCAGCACTGACTTTCTTGAAATCTCAAAAATCGCAGAAAGAGCATGCCATGGGTCGAGTGAGGTGCCTGAGGCTCGTTCTGACTTTGCTCAGGTCTAGCTGGAAGGAAACCTACCGGCGCCCAAGAGTTCAAAGGAAAGCAACGTTTGACAGGAATCTACTCTACGTTGCATACATGCTACAGAAATGATTCATTGATCCTCGCTGAACTGCAAATCGCCAATGGAGACAACTTTGGCTTGCAGTCCGACATGTTTGCTTCACTCGCAGATGGTTTCCACTTCCGCACATCACTCCTTGGGACTTGGGCAACATCCCAAAACACACCGCGTTTCTTGTTCCCAGGGCCATTGGTTGCCGAAAGCAGCAAGGCCGGTGTCCCGAACAGATTTTGACGTGTTCGGCCCTGGCGTGTGCAATTTGTTGGGAAAGGAACCTGCCTGCTTGTCCACGGAATTCGCAGGATGCCTTGAACACCTCAAGGGCGTTCGTTGAGGCTGTCAAGGCCGGGACGGAGGGATGCCGAGTCTAAGTAATTCAGCAGCTGTGAGCTGTCTCTTCAATCAATCCACCCACATCTAGAGTAATACCTGTCACTATGTATCCCATGGGCTAAGGGTGAGGCCCTTCTTGTTGGTCTCTTTGAATGCGAGCAGATCAATTGCTTGGATCACTTGGGATGGAGGCTTTAAATGTGTGGATCCACTCTTAGATGTGGCCATCGTGGCCATGAAAGTCGGAGGGTCCTTTTTTGCAGGTACAAAAAGTGTGCCTTGCCGCTGATGCATCCAAATCCATGAATCCAAAAGATATAAGTGTGTCTCAAGACGATGGACCCAAAAGAGCAGTCTTCCACGTATCTCAAAATAAGGGCCGCCCAACAAAAGCATGGAGAAAATAGAGCTCAATATTTTGAGATAGAAACCAAGGGAAACGAAATCCAAAAAAGGGAGGTGGTTTTTGCCTTTGGGTTGCCCTCGAAACCCAAATGGCATGAGGAGAACGACATTCACGAGCTGCGCCGGGTGGTGGCCGATGCGGAGGAGGGCGAGCTCATACAGGCGGATCGATCGATTTTTGTCGTTCCCTTTGACTCGACGGGGAGGGTTCCGGCGGCGTTTTTTCGGCTAAATCCTGCAGCTCAAGTCGAGTGCTTAGCACATGGGAATGCTTAGAGGATTGAGCCTTCTTGAATGAGGATAGTATAAGAAAGCCAAAGCACAGGTTTGTCGCCCTTGGTGGCAACAAAAGAGGAGCGGGTAAAGAGACATGAAGCTCTGGGGAGTCATTTGGAAGCGGCCAAAGACCACGAATGAATGCCTCGACCTGCAAATCCCATGATATTACTCATTCAGTGATTTGGAGCCATACGCGTAAAAACCTCACAGTGACAACGAGCAACTTTTGGGACGATTCCGAACCATTGGCTCCTGCTATGACTCAACGAGAGGGTAAAACATGCGAAATGAAGTGACGATCTGTCTCCAGTATTTGGGGTTTCTAAATGAAATCTCTGCGAATGGGTGAATCAGACTTGAAGACCAAATCAGGGGTGCCAAGGTGGTTCGAGTCCCAGATTGCCGTTGTTTCCAATCGGCAATGCGTGATAGTTTAAGCCAGGCATGAAGAGACGTTTCGGGGCGCATGCTAGTAGAGATCGTATGGGTCCATGATGTGCCTGACACCCCCCACAGAGAGCTTCACCCATGCCTTGTTTGGATGGTTCGCATGGCTTTGTTCCAGGCATTCGTCATCCAGGCGTTTGTCACTGCCCTCAAGGCAGGAGACCAAGTCGTTTGCTGCCTGCTGAACTTATCTTCACTTCTAAGGTGTGACATGATTCCCACAAAGCTGGACTCAAGGGGAGCTTAAGCTAATGGTTCAGTCGCTTGTTCATGTTGGGCCGCAGAATATAACCCAAACTTATTTACCTGCCTCCTGTTTCAAGTAGCGTGACGAGTGTTGAAACACCATTTGTGTGGTACGCGAATTTTGAGACAACCCCATGTGGCTATGAATTCCAAGAGTTTGACACCCCTAATACGTGTGGACATACATGAATCCCCATGCAAATGACCCTGCGGGCCCAAACAAAAAAGCAATATCCAAATGGATGTGCATGTGTACGTGCGCTTGATCGTGGGCCTTTGTGTAGGTACCTTTTGGGTTGCTTTAAAGAGCGACCCCCAGTTGATGAGTCCAGGGTTTCCCTTCAAGTGCTGTGACATTTTGAAGGGCCTGTTTGAGAGTGAAATTTCGGACGCCTCGTCCGGGGCTCGCTTTTTGACCCACTCGAGATTTTCAAGTGATATTGATAGGCTCATCCATAGCTGCTGTAGTTGCCATCGCGAAGCTGAAATCTGTTAATCTGAGTGCTTGCGTTGATAACTCCCAGGCAGTTTAACGTGGAACCCCAAACACACAGTTGTAGAGAAATATTATTTTAGGAGATGGGCCCACAAATGTGGGTTCCCTGTGAAAATGCAGCTGCGGAGCGTGTGTAGCAGCCAAGGTCAGACCATGTCATTCCTTCATCTCAAGCGTGTCGTGAGTGTCATTTGTCCTCTGTTTGACGTTTCAGACTGCCCTTGGATTCTGAGGAGGCGTTCATCGAGTTGTGCCTGAACGAAACAATGAATAGGTGCCACTGCATGATGAACCGACCGTGACAGTGTTCTTCTGAGCAGACAAGAAGTGTGCAGGTTTCGGGGCTCTGCTGAGGCATCTTCACTGGAGATTGTCCAGCAGCGAGGGTGCCCAAGACAGTGACGCCTATTTTAGGCACTCATGGCTTCCATGCAACGCGTGACAACTCGTTTCTACTTTCGCTCACATCAAAGCTCTTCTTGGCCTTAGCTGTGTATGCACAGAATTAACTTGTTTATTTCATGCATGTGACGCCCGTCTCCAACATGTCATGCAGTTGTTGTGCTTGCACGTGTGCACAGTTCGGGCACCTCAGTAGATGTGTGGTGCTTTCCGCATCCAGCAAAACGTGTGGCTATCCAAGACCTTGAGGGTATGAGG